CAAGACAACACTCACGTAAACTTAGATCACGACAACAATCAGCAAACAATTAAACAAAATGAAGATAGCATTGAATTGTCTTTTGATGTAAGTTAAAAATAAATAATTGCCGTAAATAAAGTACGTATAATAAAATATAAAGGCAAAATTAATTCCTATTTATTTATTCCAGATTGATAATGAATTTGGGAACGATGAAGAAATATGCCAACAAACTAACGTTGTATGCTTGCAGGTAGTGAATTTACGTCATAAAATTGTATGATTTTAAAAAATATTTCGTTATTATCATTTTTTTATTTGCTTCAGGAGGAAAATTCAAGAAAAATCGAACAGAGCCCTTCTACGTCTATAAGTATTGGGTCTATTTTAGACACTCCCAGAAAAAACTGTTATAAAGAGAAAGCTGAATTTATGCGAAAAAATGATTTTAAACAAAAACAGACAGATCAATAGACTACAAAAACAAAATAAAAGACTTATTAAAAAGAACACAACTTTAAAAAATGCCTTGAAAGTATTAAAAAGTAGGAAAGGCATTGACCAGTCGTTGTTTTCTGAATTATCTCAAAATTTAGAAGTTACCGAAATGTTCAATGCCTTATACATAAAAAATGTAAAGAAAAAGAAGAGGCCATTCAAAAAATATCCGCCTGCTGTTAGGAAATTCGCACTTACGTTCCACTTTTACTCGTCGGCAGCCTATAAGTATGTAAGGCGTCTCTATAACACATGTTTGCCTCATCCAAACACGCTATGTAACTGGTATAAGAGTGTTAACGCAGAACCAGGTTTTACAGTGGAATCATTTGATAGATTGAAGGAAAAATCCAACAATTCAAAGAGTATATTTGCGCCCTAGTAGCAGATGAGATGTCAATAAGGCAACAGAAAATATGGACGGGGGAAACGATACGAAGGACTAGTGGATATGGGTACAGGATCTGAAGAATCTGAAGTTATAGCTAGTCAAGTATACGTCATAATGTTGGTAGCTATTAACGATTCATTCAAAATTCCATTGGGCTATTTTTTTATAACAAGCTTAACAGCAGAAATGAAGGCTAACTTAATAAACATTGCACTGCGAAAATGTCATCAAGTTAAAATGAAAGTAGTTTCATTGACTTTCGATGGTTGTAAGACAAATATTGCAACAATGAAAATTTTAGGCTGCAACTTAAATAATAAGGAATCCATGAAAACCTTTTTTTAAACACCCTTCCGCCGATCACAATGTAGCGGTATTCCTAGATGCATGTCATATGGTCAAACTCATGAGGAACGTGTTTGAATCTAAAAAAATTATAAAAAATGGGGAACACGAAGCCATCAAATGGAAGTACGTCACCGAGCTTCACAAATTGCAGGAGGAAAAACAGCTGCACTTATCAAATAAATTGACGCACAGACATATAGCCTTCAAGAACGAGATCATGAAGGTTAAATTAGCTACACAACTTCTAAGCCGCAGTGTAGCTAAATCTATACAATTTTGTAAAAATGACTTAGCTATAGCAACATTCGATGGATCTCATCCGACGTCAGACTTCATTATGACCATCAACAACATTTTTGACATTCTGAACACACGAAACCTACAAAATTATGGTTACAAAAAGCCTTTGAGCTTAACAAACGCTGATGAAATTCTTTCATTTATAGATCATGCCAAAGAATATCTGTTATCTCTAAATATTGACATTTTGCGAAAACGAACCATTAAAAAAAACAACGAAACAAGAACTGTGCATACCACAGAAAACGTACCGTTGTGGAAATCCCAATCAGGGACTGGAGCTCTGGGCTTGGTTATATGCCTTGAAAGCTTAAAACACTTATTTACAACACTGGTTAAGACATCAGTTTTGTCGTTTCTTTTGACATATAAAACTAGCCAAGACCATATTGAATTGTTTTTTGGTGATCTGAGAAGCCAAGGAGGCTATAACAACAACCCCAATTCTCGCCATGTAAAATCCGCTTACAAAAAAATGTTAACCCATCTGGAACTGAGTTCTAAATTTTCCGGAAATGCTATACCACTTGAAAATATTCCCATATTGAGTGGCGACAACACTCTTCACAATTTAAATAATACAACAATTGGCTATCGTCATGAAATTGAAAACGAAAATGACGATACTCAAATTATTTCAATCCATGAGTCTGAAACGTATAGTAATTGTGACATATTGTCGCAACAGCTTGACGAATCTGAATCTGAGTCCGAATACATTGATCAAATTGTGGGGTATATTTCTGGGAACGTTGTACGCCACATTTTAAAAAAGGTTAAGTGCGAAGTTTGTTGCAACTCTTTGATGGCTAAAGAAAAAATGACATTCCACAACTTGATTGATATCAAAAACATGGGAGGATTATTTTATTCGTCCAAAGGTGTGTTTAATTTATGCAAAAAAACCGAGCACACTATAAGACATTGTCAACGTTGTGGACTTAAGTTGAACCCACAAAAAATTTTTTCTGCAGTTCTGAAATCATTCGTAGGTGCAATAGTTATGGAAGATCTAATTGAACATGCATTTGAATTTACAAACCATAGAACCATTTTAATGAGGGCAGTCATTGAACGGTACATAAACATTAGAATTCATTACATTGCAAAGAAATGTACTGAAAAAATTAAAAATCAAAGTAAAAGGCAACGTTACAATAAATTAACATTGTTTCAAGGTAATTAGGTTAGGTTAAGTTTTAGTTGTAAGTTATTAAAAGTAAGTAAGTAATATAACGCTTATACCTAATATTAATTTTGTTTTATTTTAAATTATCAGCGACCCGCGTGATCCCGTGTTTCCCGGTATAAAAAGTAGGTAGCATAAGTGATAATTTAGGGTATAAGCTATTTACATTTTCATCCGAATCCGTCGATCTGTTAGAGCACGAACAAAATACAAACATACACACTAAAACGTACATTTTAATACTTAGCATTTTAGTACCTAATTCACAAACCTTAGTGGTTTACTAGTGCTATTAATACTATTAATTATTACACCAATTTTTTTTTTCATTTACTTATCATATAAAAAATCTTATAAAATGTGTTATAAGATTTTTTAATATGATAAGTAAATTAAAAAGAAATTGGTGTAATAATTTTTGAAATCAGTTGTTTAGTTCTCCTAGGTACATATAAACTCACAAACTCATATTTCACAATTATTATAAACTCCTAATAATATTAGTATAAATAGCGTCTCCACTGATGCCTTGTTCCCTGCTCGTACGCAAGCCCTTGAGTGAATGATGATGACATTGCATACGAGCGACTTTGAACATTATACAAGCAGGTTAACGTCTAAATTCGAGCAAATGTCATTTTGAACTATATAATATCAAAATATATAGGTATATGGAACGGCGCTCGGACATTTTTTTGAGTATTGTCAGTTAGAGATTGTGACTCTATAGGTATTGTAACTCAATGTTTATTATACATATTAAAGTTTTATTAAAAAATATAAACATTTATAGAAGCTTTTTATATGTATGTATTGCTTTTAAATTTTGTCTATCGTTATGAAAATCAAGTTTAAGTTAAATACATAATAGCGCCATTTAAGAAAAAGTAAGTTACAATGACGGCATCCACACCTTTTTCTGCCACCAGTGTGGCGCCACTTGTGAAGGTGAAGTGAGGTATAATATTTGACAGATATCAGGGCGGGGAAGTTAATTTGTTCGAAAAATGTAAAGGTTAATGTTTCTTTCTGTACTGTTGCTATATTTTATATTTTTAAAATTAAAAATACATAATATTCATGAAAGTAGAAAAATTTTAAAAAGTTAAAAATGTGCAAAAAATTAAACAGCAAACCACTGACTCATTGTTTTGTGTATTAGTATAATACTCTAGAAACTGATAAACTTTTATTAAAAACTTACTTCTCCATTAAATGACATTGTGTAACAAAAAACTTTATCTCAGTGTCAACTAGCGACATCTGGTGAGCAGAAAATTATTAGCCCTCATTAAACAGTATGGTTCTCTAACTACGTCACTTCACGGCGACTATTTAAATTGTATATATTATTTAAATTGTATATATTATTTGTATAAATACATAATAAACAATTATAATTTTTAGTTAGGTCCTTTTCTATCCTATAATAGGAATATAACTATTTTTTTTTATGAAATATATATTGGTACAATGATAATTGTTTTATTTCACTATTTTCCGTTACGTTCCGTTAGATGTCATTGCTGAACATCTACCTCGCGTAGGTAAGATTTTTCGTGAGTTTTCTTAATGACACATTATTTTATATCTACTCAATATGATAATTTGTAAAAGTTGTTATATTTGTGATAATACTATAATACTGTGTGCTAAGTTTTCTATTCTTTTACCTTTCATGACATCATATTACGGATTTACGGATTTCTGATATTTTGTCTTACGATACGGAATTAGTTGTTTGGATTTTTTAGACTGTAATAATATATTAAATTTAAATTAAATTAAATTGAATTAAATAATATTATTATTGTAGTCTAAGGTTAAGTGATCACTAAATTGTTACATACGTGATTACATTTTCGGATAAGGATTTTATTTTGTGTTTTGGTTGTTGAATAAATTTTAAATAATGCCGCAAAAAAAGAAAAGTAGTCTTTCTCAATACACTAGAAGGGCTAAAAGGATGAGACAAGTTCGATCGCAAGAGACAAATGAGGACCGTGAGCACCGTTTAGCTTATAATAGAGAACAAACTGCGGAATCTCGGGCATCAGAGTCCAGTTTTAATAATGAAACGCGCTTAGCTACAGATCGCGAACGTCACGCGTTGTCTCGCGCTTCGGAAACATTAACAAATTACTCTCAGCGTTTAAAAGTAGACCGTGAACGTCATATCGAGTCTCGAGCTTTAGAGACGTTTACGGAGCATTCAGAAAGGTTGACTGCAGACCGTGAACGTCATGCTGAAAGTCTCGCGCTTCAGAAACGTTTACTCAATATTCAGACCGCTTGACAGCAGACCGTGAGCGTCATGCTGAGTTTCGCGCTTCGGAAACATTTACGGAGTGTTCAGAACGGTTGACTGCAGACCGTGAACGTCATGCTGAGTCTCGCGCTTCAGAAACGTTTACTCAATATTCGGAACGCTTGACTGCAGACCGTGAGCGTCATGCTGAGTCTCGCGCTTCAGAAACGTTTACTCAATATTCGGAACGCTTGACTGCAGATCGTGAGCGTCATGTCGAGTCTCGCGCTTCGGAAACATTTACGGAGTGTTCAGAACGGTTGACTGCAGACCGTGAAAGTCATGCTGAGTCTCGCGCTTCAGAAACGCTAACTCAATATTCGGAACGCTTGACTGCAGACCGGGAACGTCATGCAAGATCACGTGCTTTGGAATCATTTACTCAATATGAAGCGAGGTTAGCAGCAGATAGGGAGAGCCGTTCGGTAAGTAGGACACATGAAACCCAGCAGGAGCATGACTTACGCTTAGAATTGGCAAGGGGATATTATGAAAATTCGCTTCAACACCGTAACGAACTTTTGTCTTTACAAAGGGAAAGAGTGCAAGCAATTAGGAGTAACGAGACAGAGAGTGAACGTGCAATTCGGTTAATAAAACCATTAAATTAAATTGCATATTTTAATCCCCTTTTTGACTCCTTGTTTTGTATTTATTAAGATTTTATTATTCGAAAACCAGAAATGGATTAGGTGGTAGATAGCTGGCATTAGGTTTTCTTAAAATGTGGATATTATCATAAAATGGCTAATCCTTGCCATCAAGTCATCCAAAATTAAAAGTAAAAAATTTGATCTATTTTAGCCTTTTTTCACGAAGCTAACGTTCAGGTAGGTATAAAATAATCTGCTTGATTATAATAAACATATAATTATATATACTCTGTTTGAAAATATAAAAGAATTGGAGAAAAAGATTACATGCGAACGAAGTCGCGGGCACAGCTAGTACATATATAAGTCAATGCCCAAAGCATCCTGTGAGTTCTTCCATGCATTAAAGATATCCTAATATCCTGTACCTTTAAACGAAGAAATTTCCATAAAATTTTGTGTGCAGGGAGTTTCTGGGGCAATAAATCGATCTAGCAAGGATTTATTTTTGGAAAATGTCTTTTTGTCCGTGTTTTTAGACAATGAAAAACTGCTACAATATCATTAGAATAAGAAGGTAAATTTCGACAGTCTATTAATAATTATAAATAACTTAATTGGTATATTGGGCGGTCACAAAATCGTAATACCCTGGTTCAAGTCCAGACCGACCGGCCGACTTTTTAAATTTTTTTTCAAGTTCCTTTCTTTTTTGAGAAAATCTATTTTTTGAGCCCTTTTTTAGTATTTTTTAAAAACACGAAAATTTAAATTAAACTAATTGCACTGATGATTTTTTATTCAAATAACCAGTTCAGTTTTTTCTATTATGTCGCTAAGATCAAAAAATATTATTCGTATTTCATCAGTATGTAATTTGTATCTAAATATAATTTCCAAAACACACGAATTAAAAAAAACCGAGCAAAAAATACCGAGCAAAGCTCGGTCAACCGGGTACTATTTATTAACCTCAACACCGGCATCAGTTGTCGAGCGACCCCTTGTGAAACCAAATTGATTTTTATGAAGTAAATTATTTACATTAAAAAAAATTAGCATTTGATCAAGAATAATTTTTTCAAAAATTTCTGTGTTGGCAGTATAGAAATAGGTCTAAAACTAGCGGGGTCCAATGTACTACCAGATTTAAATAAAGGTATTACTTTACTATGATTATTTAATTAGGAAACACACCAGATTCGATACTAGTATTAAAAATAAAAATAATAGAGAGTTGAGGTGCGACCGTATCTATTATAGACGCAATAACTTTAACGGAAATCCCCCACGGATCGGCGGTTTTCTTAATATGAATTGTATTAAAATATTTTACAATATTTTTGATGACACTTTATGAAATGTAAAATTCTTAGTACACGCATTTACATTTTGTTTAAGTAATGATTCGGCAACGGCAGGAGATGAATTCAGTGATTTAGTGGTTGAGATCGGAAGATCAGTAAAATATTTCTCAAAAACCATTGCAACGTCCTGATCAGCCAACTAAAACCACCAAGAAAAAAGACATGTTTCCCAATCCACCCTACCAAAAACATCCAACTGCTACTGCCAAATTGATTAACAAGTTTTTTGCTGGAGTTGGAAATAAATAAGCTGAGGACCTTAAACTTAAGTTTGGTTCTCCGAAACCACTCCTCACCAACTCTTATATATGAGCAGGTCACTTTGTCTGCTACCTACAGATGAAGATGAGGTTGGCAAAATAATAATGGGACTAAAGGGCGATTGTGCTGCAGGTATTGACATCACCAATAACCCACATTTGTAATGCTGCCCTCGAAACTGGTACCTTCCCTAGACTTCTAAAGATCTCGAATTTATCGAAACAATCCACAAGGGGGGTGACAACGACTGCGTTAATAACTATAGACCTATATCAATACTACCTACTTTATCTAAGATACTGGAGAAAATCCTAAACAAGAGACTTATTGCTTTTCTAAGCTCAATGAAATTAATCTCAAATAATCAATTTGAATTCCGAGCCGAAAGGTCAACTGAGGATGCCGTTCTTGAGTTAACAAATTCATTAATTTCTGGTCTTGATAATGGCAAAAAGAATATAGCACTCTTTCTTGATTTAACTAAGGCCTTTGACGCAGTTTCTGTTCTTCGTTTGTTAAACAAATCGGAAGGAGTAGATGTACGATATTTTTAAATCCCTCCGACACATAGCTAATCGTTCTATTATAAAATCTATTTATTACGCTCTTAGTCAATCAATAATCAGCTATTGCATCACAGTGTGGGGTGGTGCAGCCAAAACTCACCTTATTGAAGCTGAAAAGCTCAACGAGCAATCCTCAAAACTGCAGCTAAACTCCCTTATAAACTTGCTACGTCGGAGTACAGGTTATGGGATGTCCTCACCGTTAGGCAAATAATTATTCTAAAAACAATAATATACCAGAAAGCATTCCCAAGTGAATTACGATCCGAATCTCAGCACTACTAAAACTACTAAAAGGAGAAAGAACAAAGTATATCCTTCAACGACGGTTAAATCCAGCTTGCCCAAGAGACACTACACCTTTCTCAGTAATTATATATACAGCAAAATAAATAGGCTGTTATCTATATATCCTCTTCTTGAACACGAATGTAGAAAAAACACAATAAACTGGCTCAAATCTTCTTAAGTTTCTTACTTCCTCAACTTTAATATCACACACAATAATATATAATTATAATATTATTATGTACTTTAATCTAAAATATGTATCTGTATAATTAATTTTTTTATAGGATAGGGTGACAAACGAGCACACAGTCCACCTGATGGTAAGTAGTTGCTGTGGCCCATAGACATCTGCATCTATTCTCGATTACGAATCAAAATGCAGATGCGTTGTCACCCGTGAGGACTGAGATGGAATACCTCGTTTCCAGTAAAAAGGGTTTCCGGTCTCTACACTTACCGTACGAAACACAGCAGCGTTAAGCTACTAAGTATTTGACGCTGGTATTCTGTAAGAGCGTGGTCCTTCCCCGGTCGAGCCGACCCATTCGTGCTACAACTATACTACTAATATAACTGCAGTATGGCTCTACCACGTATAAAAATTAAAATTAAATAAAAATTAAATTTGTTTTGTTATATTATCCCTCAATTTACTAAATGTCTATTTTCTCATAACCAATTAAATGAAAATAATGATGTCTTCAATAGACTACGCAAACGTGTAATTTAAAATGTACAATCCGCGAGGAGGGACCTGGTGACCTATAGAACAGGTATTGTTTAATACCTTTATTAGGCACCAGTCTCTCACAAACTAGGGTTCAATACGTTTATAGTTTAACAGGTTTGTCGTCAATAATTCCGTACATGTAGCACCCAGCCATCTTCTCTAATGAAATTAGGATGTTTTTTGATTTCAATAGCCTCGCGAATCATCCTTGGAAGGAATCGGTGTTCTCTAGCGAGGATTTGTGGTCTATCAAATCTGATGTAGTGACGGGGGCGATCCTGTACGTGTTCACAGACTGCAGACTTCCCGGAGCTTCGATTCTTCACATCAGCTATATGTTCTTTAACGCGGTTTTAATTGATCTTTTAGTTTGTCCTGTGTAGGAAAGACCACATCCACAATCAAGCTTGTACATTTCTGCATCTTGCAGAGGCCAATCTTCTTCAGCGGCTTGAAGTATGTTTTAATGGAAGCGCACTTCAAGATGTAGCCAATCTTCTCAGTGACTCCTCTGACATATGGCAGTACAGCAGGTACACGCTCGACTGTGGCCGGCTTCACTCGTTCACTGTGACGCAGGCGCGGGACCCGAAGCTTGTTGTCATGCAAAACTTGCTTCACGTGGTGTAGCTCGGCAGCCAGGTGTTTACTGTCACAGATCCCTAGTGCTCTCTGAAACAAAGATTTACCCACGGTAGCTAACTGTGAAGTATGGTGGTGAGAATCACCGTTTAAATATCGATTTGTATGGGTCTTTTTTAGGGTTCCGTAGTCAACTAGGAACCCTTATAGTTTCGCCATGTCTGTCTGTCCGTCTGTCCGTCCTCGCTTAATCTCTGTGACCGTTAGCACTAGAAAGCTGAAATTTGGTACCAATATGTGTATCAATCACGCCGACAAAGTGGTAAAATAAAAATTGGAAAAAAATGTCTTATTAGGGTAGCCCCCCTATATGTAAAGTGGGAAGTGATTTTTTTTTTAATTTCAACCCTAACGTGTGATATATTGTTGGAAAGGTATTTAAAAATGAATACGGGTTTACTAAGATTATTTTTTGATAATGCCAATAATTTCGGAAATAATCGCTCCAAAAGTAAAAAACAATGTGTCCCCCCCCTCTAACTTTTGAACCATAAGTTTAGAAAATATGAAAAAAATCTCAAAAGTAGAACTTTATGAGGACTTTCTAGGAAAATCATTTTGAACTTGGATGGAAAGTCGGAGCGCCTGCCGCGGAGCGTGCAATGTTGCACGCTCCATGTTCGCGCACGTACCCACTACCGGGAGCAGTTGCAGGAGCGCGGAGCGCTGCTGGAGCGCGAACATAATGGATACCCACCTTTAAACTCATAAGTGGGAATACTTATTGTGACGGACGGGAAACTACGGAACCCTACACTGAGCGTGGCCCGACACGCTCTTGGCCGGTTTTTTATACACAGTATGGCTCAAGGTGTTATCTTGGATTTACGGGAGAAGTAAGCAGGGCTTTATCCTCAGTCTTCCATGAATATGTCGGCGACATTGGGAGATACAGGTGAACCCATCGCCACGGTATTTAAAAAGTTAAATATACGCGATAAAATCCCTAAATACTAGTATTATTTAAATGTGTAGAGTTCGCGTAAATATAAGAAATGTATGACTATGTACCTGATAATATTAAACGAAAAAGCTATTATTGTTATTTATGAAATCGGTTTTGGAGATGTTACTCACAAAATTCACAAACTTCATTGTTGTGAACGACATTGTTTGTAGAAATATTCTTAAACGAGAAACCTACTCAACAATAAAATGATA